TACCAGAGAAAATTTTGGACTCCCTAGTCCATTTTTTTTTGAGAGATAAAATAAAAAACAGCTAAGGTGGACCAATAAATGCAAGCTATATATGCTGCTTTTCTCTGACATTTCCTACCCTCTTTTGGAATATTTCTCTTCTTTCATACATTTCCCCTGACACATTTTAATGCCATTCACTAACTGAAACAATTCAGCCCTCTCACCTTGCCCAATTTACTGACACAATCATTTTTTTATCTCAAAGGATGTACTGATCWTTATCTTTTTCAAGTAGAACACAAATTCTGGAGAACAAAGGGCAAAATTTTCCATCATGTTTAGTGTGAAAAGCTGCAGGACTCATTTGAAGAAAAGTTGTGAACCATATATTATAATTGTGGGAGGAATTACAGTAAACACCTATATTTGGCTCTTCAAAGTCAAAAGAAGAACTAAGAGCCTGCCTAAGCATAATGAAGAGCTTGACTAAGATAAGACTTCACTTAATGTGAARCAGATCCCATCTTTTAGAAAATTAACCTTTAGAAAGTTGTTCCAGTAGTTATTATTTTCACTGCTAAAATAAAACTCTAATTCTGCCTCATTCTGGCTTTAAGATTTGCCATACATTGATATACATTGATTGTCGAGACTGTACTGTATAATTTTATTGTGTGCTGAAATAAAATAATTTGTTGTTTTATAAACCAAGTGTCTCAGATATTATGTTACACACAAACTTCCAGGTAATCAAATGAATAAATTGATCTTTGAAGTCTCTTAATAACAAGCATTTTTCAAAGCCTTTAATAATTATCCCAACATTTTTTTGAAGTATGTGCAATTAATCTTAGATGGAGGACACTGTAGCTGGATACAATATTCTGAAAGCATTTACCCTGAAGGACTGAATATGTGTAACTTCACATCTCGTATTTGATAACAACATGATTATAATTCCAAGAAAATTACTAACCCTTTCAGCATAGTATTCCAGGGGGAGCTTACWTCAGTGATAGTCTATCACAATCTACAGGTTTGTTAAACCTCACAATGTGTCTTCTGCTTCCTGAATGTTACAAGCATAATTTACATGAGCAAGATGGGAGCAGAAAAGGCTTTGACACTGTGTAAGCACTGCTCAGCAGTAACAAAAACATCCCTGTGTTATCAACACTGTTTTCAGCACAGATCCCAAACACAGCCCCATACAAGCTGCTCTAAAGAACTTTAACTCTATCCCGGACAAAGCTGGTAGAGTCTAAGCCAAAAATTRTCTTGAAATAATTTATAAGTGTTTATCAATATTATCATGCATATGATTGTACAAAGGTCTACAAGGAGGGAAATGATGATGGKCAGAAAGATCCTCTGGTTGCACTTGATCTACAAATTCTTAAGCTGGGAGAGCAACTTTTTACACAGGTAGATCATAATAGGAAAAGGGGCAATGGCTTTAAACTTGTAAAAGAGGAGAGATTTAGATTGGATGWMAGGAAGAAGTTCTTTACTCACAGGATGGTGAGGCACTGGAACARGTTGTCCAGARAAAYTGTGGATGGCTCATCCTTGAAAGTGTTCAATTTCTGATTGGATGGGGCCTTGAGCAACCTGGTCTAATGAATGACATTCCTGCCCATGGCAGGGAAGCTGGAATGAGAGGTCTTTCAGTTCCTTTCAACCCAAGATATTCCCTTATTCTATGATTCTATTATTATTCTAAGATTACTGTAAATTCTTTTATTACTAAATGATAAGATCTTACTAATTTTTTGCAGTGTTGCAATAAATAATAGTAACTTTACCTCCTAATCTTGTCATTCATATTTTAGACTGTAGATAGAGTTTTGAATTTTAGGAAATTGTCAATATATTTTAGGGCTCCTTTTTTGAGTGAGCATTTGTGTTTCATAGTCTGTGGATTACTCCACCTGGCAGCACACAAAGGATTGAAGAGCCACTTTTTTTCAGAAATGTGAGGCAAAATAAAAGTAGCTTGTCTTCTCTGGGGCTATTTATCTGCAAGTGTCCTAGAAATTTTGACCTGCATAGATCAAAATAAACTACTTTATTTAAAAATATAGTACTTAACTGGTAAAACACAAACTGTGCATAGTTACAATTTATGTTATCCATTACCAGCCTTGGTCTCACCTTAGCTAACAATACTCACCTTTAYAGTGGACAATCATCCTTAATAGAAAGTTCCTTCATTAATATTCTATTACTCAACCACACAAAGATGTAATTATTAAATGTGCAGCCATTATTTATATAGGATAAGGGCCTGCAAAGTATTTCCTGCCAATATTCWTAAAAAGACTTGTCTCTCAGCTCTGCAGTTCCTAGAAGGCCTTGCAAATTCTYTTAAAGATGGTTAGCATTTTTATGCTGATTTCTACATAAAATTCCTTCCAGCTTTTAAGGCTGAATATTACCTAATTTTCTGTGTAATATTTTTAACTAGTCCTGTCAGTTGGTGTATAAGCCATCTCTATTTGTTTAGTCACTCATAATATAAATCACAGTAGGTGAAAGTTAGGCTATCGGCAAAAGACCTTAGCAAATACGAGGAAACTTCTGCATTTTTCAGAACATTGTGAGAAATATGTATTTCAGCAGGTTCTYAAGCACTGTTGGAGTGTCAGGGACTAATGAAAGTTGCCCTACACCACCCACTGAACAGAGTTAAATAGACAGTCTGATTAATTAACGTGTCATTTCAGCCAATGGTTTCAATTTCCTCTTTTCACAAAATAAAAGTTATAAAAAATTTGTGGAAAAAACCTATTAGGTTATTTAGGTAATTTCCTGTCCCTGCAGAATAATCCTTCCAATGACATTTTTATTCCAATTTGTYCAATGCAATTYAAAGGCTTGGAAAGGTGCAAGCCACAGCTGATGCCACAGAAGCATTTACTGTCTGTTAAACCCTGATCTCTATCTTGACATACAAGAAATGACTATTATTTTCATAACAGTATTGTATATTGTCTATTTAAATAAGGTCCTTGCACATCTCTATACAGCAAATACCTAAAGGCCATGCTAGATATTTCCTGCTCATTGTCCTTCAGTGTCTCAAAAGATAAGCAATGTTTTGAGTACTGTCAAAACACCCCAAGAATAATCCAAATGCAATCACCTTTTGTAGTATCTGTACAGTGAGGATGGCACAGGCTGTGCTGGTGGGAAAGACAAAGTCTCCTTTATTGCCAGATACCAGTGTTSCTCCCTTGCTCTGCCTCTCTAGTCTGGTGCAATCCAGCTGTGTGAATGTAAAATCAAATATGATATGTAACACAATCAAAAATAGTCAAATTGAAATATCAAAGGTCTGGTCTTTGGAAAGTCTGTTTTTTCCTTATTTTTCAGGTGGCATTTTTTTCAGGTGTTTGTAGTTTCATTGCATGTCCTGTCTTTCCATGTGAAAGCATGCATTTTTATTGCAAAAGCAATCTGATTACTAAAATTTTAGCAGCATTTTTAACAGATTTATGAACGTTGTTGTTACAGTTCTCTGGGATTGAAAACTATCACTGATATCCACATTTCCCCTAAAGAGTAGCAGGAGATTCCACTTTTTCAATAAAACAATTGGGAAGACAAGCACAGTTCTGAACACCATCAAAGGCTTAGTGGCTCTGGATCAGCAGTGAGAGAAACAGAACTGAAGTACGAGTATCAGAGAGATAGAACTGAAAAATCTAATACAGACAGGCAGTCTGTATTAGATGCATGGGRAAAATGTATTTAAATGAAAACAGCMGCTATACTCATCCATCTCTGATATTTCACTAACAGGGTTAGAATTAAAATGGRTCCAGGCCCTCACAACTAATTTTCTGCATTTCTGCACTCACTTTCTACTCCCTCTCTACTATACCTGTACTATATGTAAAAATCCATGATTTTGAATGCACAGGCTAGGTAAGGCACCTCTGTTTATAATGAGATCTTTGTTTTTATACCATATATTAACTCTGCAGCAATGGAACTGGAAGGAAAATGCTCTTTTYCCATGTAAATTTAAAACTTTCTGTTTGCCTTCCTCCAATAAAGTAGCAGGTCCTCCTGGCTGAAGAAACCACCTGGATGGATATCAATAGGTCTGATATCTTTGGTGTTAAAGAGCTAGAGATATAGCAATAAATTTTGAGTACCTTCTGAAGTCGCTTACCTTAGTATTAAATGARCTAGGCATATGAGTCCCTTGTGGTTATTGAGGTTCTTTGCGGTCTAATTACAGTATCTAATACAATTTGAATATAGTGTTTYGACAAAACAGGGAACAATTGTGGATTAACCCACATGGATGGTATTCGTAGCAGCTAAATGAAGTTTAAATGAGGTTTAAAACCAAACCTGGTTTTAAAGCATTCCCTATTCCCTCAAGACATAAATTCTGTTCTGAATGTGTTTGGTTGTTTTGTTCTTCTTTTTTTAAATAACTGTTCCGGGTGTGTCAGCCAGAATACCTGTCAATTAATAAAAAGCAATACAAACGCTGTGTGCCGGCAAAGCGTACCAAACCTAAAACTGGATGATGCAACACCACAACACTCTTAAGSCAAGGGCCTGGAAAACGGGAAAAACAAGCAAAACCTCATTTCTGTTGCCCTGCTAAGCTGCTGGAGCCTGGCGCCGCGAGAAGCGCTGTGGGTTTTAGGCACCATAAAAACAGGTGAAACGTGACGGGATTGGGAGGGAGCGCTGTCCAAGCCTGGGGCTCGGGCTCGCAGATCGCCGGGCACCRCTGACCCGCTCCCCTCAGCGCTGCCGGGCGGGCGCCTGCGCGGGGCCGCCCCTCGGGCCCCTCTGCCCCGCCCTGCGGCCGAGGCTCCCCGAGCGGC